ATGTAACACACAGAGAACTACTCATTTTTCTGATTTACCATATTTTTAGGGACGATGAGAGCACTGGCCAGGATGTTTGGTATTTGCCAAACAATATTGGTTTAATCCATGGGGAGATTAGGATAATGGTTCTAAGACTTTAATGAATTTATGAATCACTTAAGAGTAATTTTAATTTCCAGGAACCACCTTCAGAAGTTCTGACTCAGTGTATTTAATTTGGTGTTTTTTAGCAAAGGAAAGCCAGGTGCTTTTGCTGAAGATGACTATGAATCCCATAAACCTATTTGAGGAAGTGCTTACCGACTGGCCTTCCATTCTTTGTGGAGTTCTTGACCATTGCAAAATTCACAGTGATAATAACTCCTGATGAAATGTGTTCTGTGGTCTTTTAGAACCTTTAAACTTTTCAGACAGGAAGCTGTCTCATCCAATTGACATAAATACAAGCGTAGATCCAGTTGAATTTCCTTTCTTTCTGTTCATTGAATGAAAGACAGACTCCCGCAGTCGAGAACATTTAGAATGATTCAACTAATACTTGGGCGGCTTGATTTGAACTCTGGCTTCTTCTCATTTAGGCACGCTGACAACTTGAGAGGCATTATGGCACTCCATAAGTTGGACTGTCAAACCACTAACCATGAAATATGAAGAGAATTTCAAAGTGGTTTTTGAAAAATGAAATGTGAACAATAAATCGATCTATTCCATTTAGTCACTTTTTATTGACAGAGAAACTTCCATCTGAATATCTGAAAGAAACATTCACTACCAGATCGTTTAAAGTACTATTCAGTGCCCTTTTAAAATAGAAGGCATTTTTATTACATGAAATTCCTTTCTTCTCTCCCTTTCAGAAAGTTTTTTTTTTCTTTTGAACATCTTAGCAGGTGCTGTATTTATCAAATAAGAAAAATGGATCAAACGTACTTTGAAAATGTAAAGCTCTATGCTCCTATAAAATGATTCAGGGGATGGCTCACTGGTTTTCCCACTACAATAGTATAGGCCACTTGCAAATAAGAATCTGTCTTCTCTTTTCTTTGTAACCCTCATGGTTCCTACCACAGGCAAATAGAAGGCACTTGTTGACATATTTGATCACCATCTCTAAGTCTACATTTATTGTTTACAACTTCTCTCGCTAATGCCTTATAAAATCTGTTCCTATTATGATTATAGTTCAAACACATCTGATAATGACTATACAAAAATTGGTTGCTCTAAGGTCAAAAATGGAAGATCTAGTTTTTTTTCCCCCCTTGTTTCTTTTTTCTGTGATTGAAATTGTTTTTGACCTTGGATACTCTTTTCTGATAATCCTGAATGTGACTCCAAAACCCTTCTTCACACGTATCCTACGATTTCTTACTAGGGTTCCCTACCAATCAATCAAGACTCAAGGTAACATTTTTAGTATCCTTCTTCTAGATACCCATTTCAAGTTATATATCCAACAGAAATTCTGGGAGACAACAAAACAAAACTAGTTATAGCATCATAAAACTGGGCATTTAGTG